ACAGCAGGAAAGAGGCAGACATCGGAACCACTGTTGCGCAGCACCACAGACTAACTTATTCAGGGAACCGAGCAATAAATGCAAAGGTGGATTGAACACTTCGACGGGTTGCTCAACCGACCATCAAACCAGGCCAACTCTCTGCAGATGTCAAGCAGTTCGGAGACTTACGACATCAATTGCGACCCACCTAACACGACAGGAATCATCAATGCAGTCACTCCTTTGAATACAGGAAGGCCCCTAGAGAAGACGGGATACCACCAGAGTTATTCAAAGCTTGCTTACCAACTCTGATCGATCCGCTGCACTCTTTTCCATACCATTTGGGAAAGAGAAGTTTTTCCAAAAGACTGAACGGCTTCAACTTTAGTCCCGGTCCCAAAAAAGGGTGACAGATCTAGATGCGAAAATTACAGGGGTATTAGCCTAATTGATATTGCGGCCAAATTGTTTGCAGTGATACTGCTTAATTGCTTCGCAGTCTTCAGGGATACCCACACTCGCCCGAACCAAGGAGGATTTTGCCGCGGAAGAGGCTGTGTTGAACAAATCTTCACTCTCCGTAAAATTCTGGAACACCGCTACAAGTTCCAACAGCCTACCACCGCATGTTTCATTGACTTCCGCTCTGGGTTTGACTCTATCGATAGAGAATCCTTGTGGTGCATATTGCGGTCCCACGGGCTACCTGAGAAGTTCATCAGGCTTTTGAAATCCTACTACCCAGGAACCCGGGCACGAGTCCGTACCTATGGAGAAGAATCGACTGAGTATACCCTAAGTTCTGGAGTTAGGCAAGGTTGTCCCCCCGTCACCGGTGTTATTCAATTATACCGTAGATTGAACAATTCGAGAAGCACTCATCGACTACCCTGGAGTGCAGCTTGGCCCAGATACATGGATTGTGGATCTCGAGTTTGCGGATGATGTCGTCGTACTTGGACACAGCATGGACAACCTCCAGCCTGTTGTCAGTTGTATAAATCAGTTCATCCAGTCCATTGGGCTAGAGATCAATAGGTCAAAAACGAAGACATTTTCGACCGAAAATTCTACCACGACACAACCCCTCTCAAATCAACTGAAGTTTTCAAGTATCTTGGCTCTACGATAAGATCAAACGACCAGACTAAGGATGAAATCCAACTCCGTGTAGATGGAGCTAGAAGAGCCTTCCTAGAACTCCTCAACCCGTTGTGGAATCGATGCGAAATAAGCTCAAACACTGCATTTCGGGTTTATCAGGCTTCCATCCGCCCCATCTTCATTTACGGTTGTGAAACCTGGCAGCTAAGAATACAAGATACAAGGAAACTCGAAGTTTTTCATCATTGGTGCTTACGCCGCATCTTGAAAGTAAATTGGAGAGATCGGATTTCCGATGATGAATTTGGACGGCGCTGCTTGAACATTGACAAGCTTTCGGAAATGCTACAACGCCGGCGCCTTCAGTGGTTGGGTCATGTGTTCCGAAGGCTCGACATTCAACTCTCGCTCCAGGCTGTAGCCCTCGCACCGTACCGTGGATGGTGTTACCGACTCGGTGGTCAATTGAAGACCTGGAGTAGTACGATGAAGGCGGATTTGGAATTACTGGGTCTTCAATCCGTATATGGAATTCGACACTGGAACCAGAAATGGGTTTCTCACTGCGTCAACCTTGCTACCGATCGTCATGCATGGGCCGCCATTATTAGAGACATCCAGGAAATCGACTTATCCTCGCTCAGGAGTTAGTTGATCAAAGTAAAAGCAAAAACTGTTCAACATTTGCGCAGGTTATGCACTGCTGACTGCGCTATGCTGTTCTCATGAGCCAAGCACTGGAAATATTTGGCCTGTCGTGAATGGTAAACAAACGCTTTGATTTACGAATCTCATCTATTCCACTCACCGTTAAAAGAACTACAATTTCTTTCTTGATATCATACGTTTTTTCGTGGCCTATTTGCATTATTTGATTTGTCTACATGAACGAGCGTTTTGTTCTGCAAGCAATAGAAGGATGCGACTAAACTAATAATATTCTGGATGTTTCATTTGCTGTACGGTTTCATATACCAGCTCCAGTGAGATGGAGCTCCGCGCAGATCTATGTCTAAATGCACCCAAGGTATAGAGTGTTACTTTAGACGCACTGATTATCGGATAGAAATGAGTGTGCAATATACGGTTATGATGAAACAAAACCTATCGTGTGATCGTTTATCAGCTGAATTTCCATTCACCATGGCGTGAACTATGGTGATTTCTTGCATGACTTATCACATCCATAGCGCACTCACCAATAGCTGACGAGTGAAATAACTGTGATAAGATGGCGTAGTATAAAATCGTGTGATTGACAACCACCCGGGTAAAAGTTGGTTCGTTTATCAGTTGACTACTGACTACAAGGTACGAATTGGATGAAAAACATTTTTATCTCGTTAACCCCTCCTCTCCCATTGAATTTCGTTTGAATTATTTTCACCTCACTTTGCTTAACAACGAATTGTGTACAGCCCATGTTCCCGATAATCAACAAATGGGCTTAGATGAGTTACAAACTGTTAAAATTGACTCGAGAAGAACACGAGAATGTATATTATCGGACGGATTTTGTCGTGCACGGAGTAAACGAAGCGGAAACTGAAACACTAGCAAACACTGAGTAGTTGATCCGATCAGCGGTATGAATCAGCCACCCAACGGATCGTTTTAATGCAAAATTAAAAATAAGAACAATCTGAACATATTACCCGGGGGCTTAAGTGGATGAAGTGTTTTCGCTCTTCCGGTCAGATCCCGAGTTCGATCTCCAGTCGACTCGTTGACTTCCCACTGTTGATGAGACTCTGTCAGGTTGAAACAGTTGTACAGCGTTTTCCAGCTTATCAGTTCACGCTTCGTTTGCTTCGTAAATGGCAAAATTCACCAAATAATCGAACAGAAGCTCAAATCACTCTCAGATATTCAGTCTATCAGAGAAGAAACATTAGCATTATTAATGTTGCATGTGTTTTTTGCGTCAATTTTGCCATAACTTGTGCATCGAATACGAGGTCAATATTCACGTTAGCTTCGATATTGGACAAATCGGCAAATCGGGTCGATAAAGTAGTGGGTAGATCATTTGGCGTGGCATCGCCCCTTTGATGGACTGAATGCAATGCTTGCGCTTTCATTGATTTGTCGATGATTCAGTAAAAAGAAACAATTTGTTTTCTCTACTGTGATCGGAGAAACGTATCGAGGCTAGGCTCGCTTACTCAACTGACCAATTGTCCTTTCCCCTTCTAGATAAATGACCGGGTGATTTTAACATTACATTTTAACAGTACACTGTGCTGTAGTAAAACAAACTGCAGTTTGCTGATCCTTTTTCCCTACAAATATACCGACATCTCTGTGCACAATAGGTTCTTCCAGTAGTTGTTTGGTCCCGTGGAAATCGACGCGGTTGGAAAGAGATGTATGAATTCTTTACCCGCATCTCAAAAATATCAGCCCATGAACGTTCGATTAGAACAAATGTGCTTTCACATTCTTTGTTAACTTCATCGTGTAAAATTATCACGAACTATCTGTCCTATACAAAAGAAGGCTATTATTATACAGTAGACTTTGCTGTAGAGATGTGCGGACGATTCGGTGAGTGAATCAGTGTTATTGTTGCGATTGAACTTTACAATTTGACTCATTATGTTCGATCAAAGTGCAAGCGAACCATAGTTGAATTCTATTCACTCCGCGATGCTGTGCCTAACTGTTAAAACACGTGCATCGACAGTTTGGGCAAAAGCTATAGAACTTATGCACATTGTAACACATACATGATTCCGTTTTTTTAAGTTTTTTTGATGCATGCAAAAGTGAAGTGGATTTGGCATTCCATGGAAGTGTGAGAATTCGGGAAATCAGAACATGGAATGTCTTAGTATTTATTGTTCGTGAAATGAACCATACACCATCAACTATCCCAACGGATGAAGGAACACTGCCCAAGCTGGTTAAAACAAGGAGGAACAGGAAGCATAGGAAGCGCCATTCTTGGTCATCTAGTGAATTCATATAATTAGATTAGACCAGAATCCACGTTCAGCTTAATCTGTCGTGTGCCCCTGAACCCCTCCAAAGCAGTGCGCTTCCACAAGAGTGAAGGCACGATTGTTTCAGTTCTGCTAGTAATCGTGAACAGTGCGTCTCAAGCCAAACCAACTGTGACTGAAACTGAGGCATAAAGGGTTGTAGTCGTCGAAAGCACCCGAAAGTCATCAGACAGTGATCGACTTTCTGATGCACGACCCATAGACAGGTTCATTGTGAGAATGACTCTTTGTGTATCATCGAAGTGCGGGCGAGGCGTTTACAGTACAAGTAATGCCAAGCCAAACATGATATGGACCACGAGTAGATTTTCCTTTGCGTTCAGGTAGTATACTAGTCGAAAGCTGAAAAGTATGTGCGATTACGCTGCTCCATAGAATACGGATTAAATCACATCGATATAGGACAAGATGGTTTGAACATTCTACACGTAATTTCACTTGGTCTCGCATTTAACAGTTACCATGACACCACCAGAATAATAATCCTGACATTGTCACGGACAACGCTGATGGCGCGACAGTGTAATTTTCCTACAAACAATCAAGGTACCGGCATTCTCTTTGGACACCCCGTTTCATCCCTGAACTTTGTTTGGCAGGTCGAATCCCATAGTTCGACTTTCTGTAACATTATGCACCAAACAACAAGCTTGACTACTTCTCTGTGCTCGAATTCAATGATGAATGGCTTAAAAAGCATTAAAATTTCTTTTTTTCCTTTCATCTCTAAGTCCCCACCCATCTTGATGAATAATATTATGAAAGAATCGTCAGCAAATGGTTTGTTGAAGTTGTTCACCATGCTCGACACGGACGGAAATGATTGTATCAGCCGGATCGAGCTGAAACGAGAACTGACCCGGTTCGGATTCTCAGAAAAACAAATCAAGGTAAATTTATTGGGCATCTTATTTTGATTGTACAGCTCAATGATTACGCGCATGATACGATCGTGAGAGGGAGGCTTTTGCACAGAAACAGTGGAACAAATCTTTATCTGAACGCCGACAACATCATGGTCGTGCCTAACTGCACCCCACACTAGGCCTATAATAGAACTGACTTTGAGAGAAAGACACTCAACATGCTTCACATTGCGCAGATTACATGATCGTGTAAAGCCATTCAACTAAGAAGGAGAACTGATTTTGTTGGACATAGGGTTTTGTTTGTCTCTCGCAAGAGTATTTTTCATATCATGTTCACTGCGCTGATGTTTTTTGTGAGAAGAGCAAACGCAACAGACGATGAACTTTGATTGTGTTCTCTAGATGTAAAAACTATGGCTACACTGTTCGTATATTTAGAAATATTTGAAACAGATCGTTACGAAATCATCACCTATACAGCAATGAATATATTTTTACGGTTGCCATCTTGGATTAACCTATTTAGCTTGTTAAGAGGCACCAGGCACTCTTGTTGATCTTGGGTGTGGGTTTCACTCCGTGGGCGATCGTGAATTCCCCACAAGAGCACTGACAGGGACACAAAACATGCATACGACTGACGAGTTCCAAACAGTGAATAGAGTTTGCTGAGGCTGGTGAACGACGGCCTTTATGTTTCATACGACTCAGGCCAAATCAAATGGTTCTGTTTTAAGTGAGTGGTTAGCTGTTTTGGAGATGTCAACTAACAGCTTGTTTTCCAATCTCTCTTCGCCGATCTTGATGTCATTATTTCGAATGATTCCCGATTTGAGGGACGGCATTAGCTTTGGCACTAATCATACACACACACAGGCAAATATTTTCTTTGCATCTGGCAAGGTGCTTGACGCAATCTGTTTGGGGCTAAAACCAAGAAGCAAACACGGAACTGTATGTGGGAACAATGGAGCATAGATCAATCACTGGAATCGTTGACGAGAGAACTTTTACTGGTGGTACCTCTCCCAAGAAGATTGTATGAGAACGTAAAACATCTATCAGTCAGTTCAGTTCCCGCCACAGTCCTACAAACCCTGTGACAAGATGTACTCAGTCATTGTTACGGGGGAGTGGCTGTTCCACTTTGAAAAAGGGGATGAAGCCGAATAGTGTGAAGAATGTGGAATTTGTTAACTCTAGTTGATCACCGACGAGTCGCACCAGTTGTCAATACAAGGTAAGTATTACATGGAATTGGCAATGAATACGGTAGAAAAAACCCACAACTAGTGTAGGAAAAACAACGAACTCACAATAAGAGTTTCTGCTCGCTGAAAGATCCAGTTTTGATCTGTATGGTTTCGCCAAACGCGGGTGACTTTCAAGTTCGATTGTACAGTCGCAATTTGTGTGGTTGGATCATTTGGGCTTCATGATCCGTCGAATGGTGATACTGTTGATAGCTGATGCTCACCTGTTTCAAAATTGTTCGGTTCTACCGAGTGACATTTCATTGCAATGGTAAGTGAGTTGATTATCTGCAGGTGTGCAATGATTCTTTTGAGTGGCTTTTGTCATACGATTAGAGTGTGTTATTCGCTGGGAACACTTAGTGTTTTACAAGTCTACATCTTTCCATGATTAGTTCAAGGGGAAATACTTGAAAATGTTCGGTGAAATGATTTACTTGATTGATCATTTATACATACATACATACATACATACATACATACATACATACATACATACACACATACATACACACATACATACATATATATATATATATATAGTAGCGTAAATGAACGTCAGCTGAACCATGATGCATTCCAAATGTTTTCATTTGTGTACGTGATTTCAAAAAATCTATTATGTTTACATATAATGATGACATTTTTAGATATGACATCCGTTTTTATGTAATAGCTTATTGAAAAAACGTGTAAGACCACAATGGAAATTTTTTTTTCAAAAGAAAACTTTTTACCAATGCAGATACTACTGATGAACACAAGTTAGTGATTCGGATCTCCATGGAAAACTGTTTTTACTGATTGAGTGCAAACGGATTGAGTGTCATTGCTTGGTCATATCTTTGATCCTATACAATGGAACCTCAGTGGAAACCCAAACATGACTGGAAAACGCTTAAAATGCAATTATTGATGTGAACAAAGAGTCTGTGTAGTTCCAGGTTTCATAATGTCCAGCTCAAACTTTGGTGGACATATCATGTTCAATAAGACAGATGGAGGATTTCCACCAGTATGACGTGCAACTCGGAGGGAACGAAAAACACCACCTAGATATCTATTCTGAATATGATTATCATGTTTATTGCTAATCTCAGCAATAAACGGGAACTGATAACTACAGGACTTTCACACCTTTGGGGGAGTCTTTCCTGTAAACACAAGTTTGTATGTAAATAAATCAATGGCTGTTCAAGATTTATCGAGCGACCCTATTATTATGCCGTATGCGCTCACCGCATTTTAGATTCAATCATCATTTTGTGCGTACACGAGTGTGATTTTTCCGTGATTCGCATACTTTTCGCTTACACCCCCCCCCACCCCCGCAACCCCAATTACTCTTAGGATTTCTCGAAAAAGTTGGACCTGAATGGGGACGAGGAAATCACCTTGGATGAGTATAGAATCGCTTTGGGAATCCCGTTTGACGTGACTTCACGGTTAGTTATATACAACATTTGGGTAGATCACGGTGCTACGAAATGCTAGTAGTACCAGCAGATTGATCCTATTAAAACGTTTTCGTCCCATAGCATTAATATCTTCAGCTCTTAAATTGACTGAAAAGGCCATCCTCAAACGCCTTCAGCAGTCCATAAACATTCCCAGTGATCCGTTACAGTTTGCTTACAAGCCAAATAGATTCACCCTGGACGCAGTCTCTACCCTCATTCATTTCATCACNTCATCACTAAATCGTTGAACAGCTCTGTTAAGTCTGTTCGGTGTGTTTTCTCGACTACTCTTCTGCATTTGATTCCATTCCTCGATCTAAGTTGTTACAAAAACTGGAATCTTTTGAATGCCCCAAGCAGTTGTTAGCTTGGCTATCCAACTATTTTACCGATAGATTACAAACCACTAAATTGGGGAAGACCATATCGAAACGCTTAGTCAACAACTCCGGGGTCCTTCAAGGAGCTGTGCTATCCACATACCTATTTGCCACTTATATTTGTGATATTCCCTGTTTTCCTCCCGCACGAATTTTGAAATATGCAGATGATGTCCTGTTGTGACAACCCATTTCTTCTTACTCTGATCTAATCTTTCTTTCACCGATAATCTTGATCAAATTCAGTCATTCTCTTCCTCATTGGGGCTAACCCTGAACCCCAGTAAATGTGTTGAGTGTTTATATAATTTTGCTAGCTCTCCACAGTGATTAATAACAATCCTTTATCCAGGTTGAACTCTCTCAAATATCTTGGTGTAACCATAGACAGTAATCTTCATTGGTCAACCCACATCCTCAACTGCGTTGGTAAACTGCGACGCCTTTCATTTCAAATACGAAAGCTCAGGCAGTTTCGTGCATCACAGTCAGTTATTTCTACTTTTATTTATCAATGTGTTTTCCCCATTTTACTCTGCTGTTCCCCGGTTATTTTTCCTGGTTTACTCAAACAGGACTTCAAAGTCTTGCGACGCGGTCTAACCATTATTAGTCGTGTCTCTTCCATTCCTGTGAGTGAATTAGCTGTAAAGCTTTCCGAGTATCACGTAACTTCCTGTGTGAAATTTGCCGAGAGGATTCTCACAGATCCGGACCACCCATTGCATGCAGAACTGACACTTTGTCATTCCCATCATTCAATGCGCTCCTAATTCCGCCAAATTTCATCTCGAATAATGCATACCGCAATTCATCCACACCGTTGGTTAGGTACATTATAACGGTTAGCATGTATGATTTTTTCAACTGAAATGTGAGCTCCAGTGCGTGCAAAAGTTATACACAATACAATACAATATAATACATCAACGCATCCCCAGACACACTCACACTTATCACCTTATCATTGCGTTCTCAGTCTGACCAGCTATAAATTGCTGTTGTTGTTTCAGAATGCAACCAGTTACAGCACGATCAAAGGAATATGCCAAACTGATGAATTTGTTCGCGAAAGCGGATGTCAATAAGAACGGAGTACTGACCAAAGAAGAACTGTTTCGTGTTCTTCAACACTCGCATTATAGCCCCGCGGAATTACAGGTGAAATGGTTTGTCATGTGGTACTATTTGACTTTGCCATATTGTTTTTGAGCGTTTTACTTGAGACGAATCACACTCGTGCAACCACCGATGCTCATTTTTTTCCTGGACGTTTACCATAATCATCAATTAAAACAATGTCACACAAATCACCATTCTAATTTATCACTTTCGGTTTGATTTTATTCTGTTTACTTCAGCAATTATTCACCAGTCTAGACCTGAACGAAGATGGTGTGGTTACGTTGGGCGAATACAAAGTTGCGCTGGGCATCGCATACGAGACACTTGAACAGTGAGTATGTTCTGTTTGCTGGTTGGCTGACTGGCTTTTTGGTTGGATGAGGCTTAGTAGAAAATTTGGGTTCGTCCGTCATTAAGCAATCAGCAATTCTGTTGCGCAACACCGTGGCCATTCTGTCTGGATAACACACTTTCACGACCAGGTTAACTGAGAAATCAATGCGGCTTATTCAAGATCCCGGCTTGAATTAGCGTCCAGTGCAGTTAAATGTTAACCAGCAACGCTTAGTTTCAACACTCAAAATCCAGCCTTTAAGTTCTAGTTTTCCTAAGCGGTCCTATTTATTGCATCCCTACAGAAATGACTAAACTCCTCATTTTCTCTCATTTTCCTCATTTTCTCATTGATTCTATGCCCGACGTCTGACTAATGATTCACTGGAAAAAAGTTAAGAGGCTCTCATGGAAAGGTATCCTGTTTAGAAATTCCTCCTTTTGACGTTATTCGTCGTAGATGTATCTTCAGCATTTCTTGTTTGTTCTTAAACCTTGATTAACTTTTCATGGAATACTTACTTGTATCGTCTAAACCGTCCAGGGCTAGATCATCTGACTTTACCGGCGCTGTGTCCTGCTTATACTTTAAAAAAGTTTTAAAATAACTCCCAGGTCTCTTGAAAATTAGTACCATTGTCCATGTGTATTTTAGTTTACTTCTTTAACCACTGAGGTTTCGCAAACGCCACAAATTCTCTGTAACTGGTAATGATCTAGACGAAAGTTGTCACAGTGGATTAAGTTGACCTTATACATTTTCGACTATTTGTCTGGCTGGATTATATGTCTGAAAACTTTCCTTCATCATCAGCCAAAACGACATCTTCAAAGTATGACTGATCATTTCGGTCAATCCGGTTTTCCACTTCTCTCGCGGGCATTTTGATCGATGTGTTGAGTAGTCGGACAAATCGATGATCGCCAACATTCTTGATCCATTCGTCATTCGTGACAGATTGATTCTTTGCGTGTTTCGTTACCGTAACAAGTACTATTGTGGTTCCGTGATAATCAAACATGCAGCCAGTGATGCGCGGAGCTGCTACCTGATTGGCTGGGATGGAACTGATTTGATTTTAATAGTTGCCAAATTTTATGCAATCTGTTTTACGTGTACCGAGTCAACGATTGCACACTTCCAACAGGTGTTTTTATTTTTATTTTTTCGTTTTCCTGTAAATGATCATTTTCACGGTTTTCTTTTTGGATCACAAATCGTGAACGTTACGGTGGTCTTATTTCGTGCATTGCCCTCCCATTGATTGTCACCTATCTTCACCCTGCCCCATCAACCCTGCCGGTTACCGTGCCTATCTGTTCGACATAACAGATGGGAAAAACTGTTCACCGAACTGGACCGGGACAATTCGGGTGATTTGAATGTGGACGAATTGAAACTGATGTTCCAACAAGCCGGAATGCCTGTTGCACGCGAGGCAATCGAGGAATGGTTGGCGGATTACGACCGAAATGGAGATAAAAAATTGAATCGTGCCGAATTCATGACCTTTGTAGCCAGCCAAGCAGAAAAACCACTCCCCTGAGTTGCCATCTTCCCACCGACCAACCCACCCACCCGCACACACACACACACACACACACACACACATACACACATGCTGTCCACCTTCGATCACTTTCGGAGAGTGGCGTGATGTGGAAAATTTAATCTTGCCGTGTTTAAATTAATGAACTCGCATGTGTTCTTCTTTTCCCGGGGTGGGGGGGGGGCAGATTCCGTTTTGAGAACTACTGGAACAAACCTTTTTGTCGTTGGTCTGAAATCGATCGGAATCAGCTTGTACCGGTAAGGAATTTTAATTTCACTTCTTTTATTAAATTGAAATATTATTATTATTATTCGGATCTGTTCCCCTGAGACTTTTCATTATTTATTTTTCAGTGTATATCCAACATCAATTTACTGTGAGTATACTACTCTCAAGAAATTTCTCGTCATCGAGTGAATTTGTAACGACACCGAGAAAATGTTTTTCGTGTGGCTAACCCCAAGTGGTCAATTCAGTTCCCGATAGGTTGCCACTAGGAGACCTATCCTGGAATCAGCCCAGAACATCTATGTACGGATACATTAATTTCACTTAGAACTCGGAAACAACTGGTCTTAAATCGATCGATCGAGAGGTCAGAGTGAAATCGATGGGGTAATTTTCGAGAGAGGGAACTGTGGTTCGCAGCTGTGGTATTCTATGCATTAAGGATGAATCGCATAACAGCCGGACGGATCGAGGGCCTTGCTTCTCGTAGGTGATCAACAAAACGAAACAGGCAACACATTTACGATGAGCAGTTTCAGTCGGATATATAGTGCACAACATAGTATGATGTCACAAAAACGTGCATTTTGGCTGAAAGAGATATATTTTCAAACATTTTCTGATCTTTTGCCAAACTCCAGCACCGAATTGAAGGGAATCAGCTCCAGATTTATTGCTGATATATTACGCTGTTTGTTGATTCCCTGGCCGCACACTCAACTATCGGTTTTATTAGTCTACCTTCGTCGCTTCAACGTGTTTTCTTAACAAGATAACGGATGATGAAAAGCTTATCTTTCTGCCTCCCTATGCGGTGCTCAGCTAGATGGCATGTTTGGCAGTAATCTTTTAACCTTTTGGTAAATAAAACGGGCCTTATTTCCGTATATCAGAAGACTGTACGTTATGTTGAGGTCAAGGATAAGACCGCATGAGACCGTGTGATCGTGGTACTTACTATGGTGGTCCTCGTGGTGCACCGGAAGAAGAGGCCAACACCCCGATTGCTGAGGGTGGTGACGATGCGCCGCCAGAAGTTCAGATGACTGAGACTCTGGTAGAGACTGAAGAAAACGGTGTTGATGTGGAAGCCCCGGAAACCGTTGAAGAAGAGTCGAAGAGTTATACACTCGAGGAATATAAAGCAATGAAGTCGTCTGCCAAGCCGGCTGTTACGCTGAAGGAGCACGTAAGGCCAATGATAGCAAAGATGTTTTTGCAAACATGGTTGCACATCGGAAGCTGAATGAAGTTTTGGTGGAGAGATGCCAGCCGAACACCACGCTCCACGACCAGCCATCTACAGCGATCAACCTGACTTAAATACACGGTCCTTCCGCCGGTCTTTCAGGTTCCGCCAGTATCACTCAGGGTTCCACATGTGAATACCGTAATCATGATCGCGTTTTTGTCTTCATCTATATTGTTCGATTGAGACTGCATACTGCACACTCTTAGACCAGTCCCTTACCCACTGCCTCACCCCACCCGCAATAAAATGACTTCATCATGCCAGAGAAGAGGATTACATGTCTTATCAGTACACTGCTGATCTCACAGAATTATCGTCGCATATATATATATATATATGGGGAAATGCAGAATAAAATAACTAAGTTCTGAAAGCAACTCAAATCTATCTAGGCGCGTATCCCGCATGCTTTATCCTCTGTTCTGTTGAATGTATACACTTAGCAGTTACCTATTGCGGATATATTCAGTCTGTGTATGCCCGCAGAAAATACTTCTCATTTCTGAGGAGCTGCTTCAAATTGAACCAATGCCCATCAAAAGAATGTTTCTAAAATTACTAACCGATTACTTCGGTTTCAACACTACAAGGTTTTCAAAATAAGACTATCAAGCAGAATGGATTCCCTTATTATAGTAATAATAAAGAGTTTCGGTTTGTGGACAACTACTCGCATTAACTCGTAATGCCGTATACCTTTATTGTCCCTTCCCTCCTTCATACATTCAAGGTCTCGCCTTAGTCGTTTAATTTTCCTAGATAACAATCATGCGTTTTCGGGTCACGTGCTCTTGGTATTCTCGTCGAACAACATTTTGATTGTAGCCGATGG